TTCAATTAATCCAAAATTTATTGTTATTTAATGTTTTTAACACTGTTTCGGTAATTTATTTATATCTACTAATCTGTGCAATGTTTTAATCTGATTTGTTTATTGTCTACTTGAATATGTTTGTGGCATGAAATAATTTTGCAAAAAAGTTATTGAAATTAGCAAGAATTATTACAAGCAAATTAATTTTTTCTACTCCTTTTGCATATTATTGAAATTATTTGGGTTTTACTGGGTATAACCGCATTTAACCAATATAAGTGAGGCTAACAGATGTCAGATTTTTTTATATTTACGAGGAGCGACTTTAATGTTCTTTAAAATAAGTTAAATTGAAGTTATAATAAAAAAATTACTAATACAAATTACTTAATTGGTTAATAATGCGCATTATCTCTCATACCTATAATACACTATTATTGTAACTTCTGTACCAATTTTAATGTTTATTTTGACGGATTGTAAAAGTTTATAGTGACTATTTCAAGTCTTTTACAATGGCAAAATGTTATAGCAAAAGCCTGTGTTTTAGAGGTTTGAAATTTAAAATAAAATAAAACACATGGAATGAAAGTTTTTTGCCATTTGTGTTTAAATATGATTTCGGGCATATAGGCGTGGTGGCTGGCTGGAATAAACTACAATCTGGAATTCCAACCATTTTACAACGGCAATACCGTGGCCAATCTTGTTGTAACACACGATCGTGGAGGTTAATTCACAGGTCCAAGCGCTCAGGCCCGTTCCTGGGGTGTTTGGCGCCTACGTGCAGCATTCTTTGGTGTGACCCTTTTATATTTAAATATAATACATTTAATATTTTAATTTCAAAAATATATATTTTGCAATAAAATGGCAAAATGTAATTAAAAATGTAAAAAAAGTATCAAAAATATTTATTAAATTACCAAACAAACTAAATCACAAAATATAGATAGTAATAAAAATACTCTAAAGAAAACAAAAAAAAGTTTATAAACAATATAACTACAAGTGGTTTTTAGTGACGTACTCTCTGAAAATTAATTAGTCAAAAATGACTAGTTTTTAAAGTAGTCCACAGCAATTTGTATCCTGGACACTTAACAGCTTATTATTATGAAAAATTGTCCCCTGAATCCGAAAAGACCGTCGAAAATTATGAAAGTAGAGCAGTTTTTGAGATATCGTATATTCCATATAATATGGAAAATTTACTATATCTCAAAAACGGTTCTATGTATTATTATTATTAACTTTTGACGACATTTTCGGATTCAGCGGACAATTTGACAATATTACTTAGCAACGTGTTTTTTCGAAAAAATTAGATGCCCTTATGATATTACTTACAATAATTTAGGATTTTTTTGCTATTTTTTTATTGAGTAAAATTGAGGATATTATATTAAATGAATTACGTGTCCGAGCGATATTTTAAGAGTTGAAAATTTACCTAAAGTGTTATTAGTGTCTGCTTTTTCGCTCTGGCAATTGGTCATTTTTGACTAATTCATTTTAAGAGAGTACCTAGTAAAGTCATGCACTGTGTAGACTACTGTTAAACTTTGATATCATAAACTGCAACTATCAAACAAATACTAAAAATATTATGACAATTTATTTATTTTTATTTTACTTATATCAACAAAAAAATTAAGTCGCTAATATTAAAGCGACAAAAGGCTCCTTATAGCGGCCGAAAAAAATAACCTTTATCATATGTATGTTTAAGTATTTGTTTATTTGCAAAAAAGTTTATTTTTACAAAGTTCCGATTGACTTTTTGATTTTGCGCCTCGCCAGAAACGGCCCTGCAGGCAAGAAACGGCTCTGTATGCAAGCGCTCATCGAAAACTTCCTGCAATAAAATGATGCACGTAGCACTGTTTTGTTAAAACCAAACAGTGACTTTTGTGGAAAAAACGACTTCTTAATGGATTGTGGATTGTTTCTATTTCAAATCAGGCATTTTAGTTTGTTTACGTAGCCAAAAATAATCCTAATCGGTTAAACAAAATTTTGCGTTGAAAATGATCTGGTTGACTCCTATTACGAAAAATGACCGTTCTAAAATCACTTTTTAATGTGGAATTACATATATTCCTAAAGTGTTACAGAAGGAATTATTCTCACCGGAAGACAGAATAAACACTGGTGGCGACATCTCTGGGTTTATTATCTAACAACTTTTAGACCGATCCAACCTCACTTTCTCCCAATTAAATTATTTTTCCATAGTATGTTTTGGAAACGTAGAAAAGTTATAGTCTGAAACACATTTGGAATTTCATATTTTCGTGTGAAAAACTGTTCACTCGATCGGATTATACTGTATTCCAAACTTGTTACAGAATATACTATTTCATTAAAGGCAAGACCATAACCATTCCCATGATTTTTATGTGTATACAATAAATATACAATACAATAATTGTATTTTTATATGATCATAACATAATATGTTCAGACTAGTGAAGTAACAAACCATAATGATTGTTAACTGATCATTAGATCAGATAAAAATACTTACCGGCTTTAATGTCAAAAATATGTATTATTTAAACAAAGCATTTTATTTAAATATAGTTTTCTATTAAATATATATCATTTACTACATAAAGAAGCAGCATTAGTAGCAATTTGTGGTTTATGAGTTTTTTAAATTTAAAATAATTGTATACATTCTCTCGTGAAGTCTTGCGGGTAAAACCTTAGAGAACCTACATATGTTTTAAATTAGATATGAAATAAAAATTAACAAAAATAAAGAGATTAAAAAAATCTTCATTTATTAACATATAATTGTGATTATTATTAGCAGTGGCAGTAGACAACTGCAAGGGAGGCTGCAAATTTCGATAGTTTACACTTAATAAAGGTAACGCTGTTTGTGTGAATAAAAATATAACTTTTTAGTAGTTGCGAGGTGTAAACCATTCTTAAATTATCGAGATAACGTTCGGCCATATATGGGCGTTGTGCTCTGATTTTTCCTTATTCGTTTCTTATTAATATTACATTTTTCTTATCGACGTGTTGCGTATGGCCATTGTCTATCATTGTGATTTTTTCCTTAGCCGTTAATTTAAGTCTTTATTTTTAACATAATTGTTCGCAAAACATAACTTTAGTCAACATTTTTGACAATTTGTTGATTTATTTACGGTAAATATGCCAAAACTAAGAAAACATTATCTGTTCTTATTAATTTGGAAAATTTGGATAAATCTTATATTCGAAAAAAGCAAAAATATTACAAGAAACTTTAAATAGTTCAATGAATGAACTTATATAATTCAAAGCTCATCTTGATTGTGAACAACAAAATTCTAAATCTTGATATAGGGTTTTAAATTATCTACAGAATGTTTTTCTAAACTCTTCTTTTTTTCTATAAGGTGTTCTATACATCAAGGTGTTTCTGGAGCTTACGGCGAAATTATGGTATAATAGCTGTTATTTGCTTCTGTCCATGTTAAACCTTGTTTTTAAAGTTCTTCATTAACTGTTTTCATCCATGTGTTATTGGGTCTGCGTATTCGTCTTTTTTCTGATATCGTATGGTGTGTGTCCTATCCATTTCCATCAACTTTTCCCAAGTGTTTTTTTTTCAATTTTTCTTCTTTTGTATTTCTGTGCAGTTCTTCGTTTAATATTGTGTTGGGCTAGAATATACCGCAGATAATTCTTATACATTTGTTAATAAAGGCTTTATTTTTTCCTGTGTAAGTACACGCCGTTTGACTTTCGCCACTTCTCAATTCGCAAAACTCGCATTTTCTCTACGTTTTTAAGAAAAATACTTTCCTTAACTTGTGATTTCTGCTTTTCTAGTTTTTTAACGAATGTGAAGTTTGAAAGACAGGCCATGTTCCTGCGTCATATAATACAATGCTTTTTACGAAGCTAGGGTTACGCAAATATAGTTAATTGATTGTTAAGGAAAGACAAAAAGTAAAATGTATGAAAATACGTTAAAAATTTAAACCCTTCGTAAGTGTGATGGGGTACGATATACCCAAATGCTATTTTTTCCAATTTTATAACTAACGGTCTATGCTGCATTTTTTCAGATTTTATGAAAGTCGGTTTGGGCATGGTATACCCGACCACACTGATCGTATAACTTTAGGTAATTTGTATATTTGTTTTTAGTTAAGACATACTAAATGCTTTTATTTATTTATAATATTATAAAATTATGGCAGGAATTCGGTGGAATTTCAAATAGGATATGACGTACCCCACCACACTAACCATGTAACGATACAGTCATCGTGCATTATGCACTTTAGTGACTTTTTATTTTCAATCAAAAGTTCTATAAGATAGGTATATATTTTTTAATTGTTTGAAAATATTGTGTTATATACAAATAGTTGTTTGTTTTAAAAATAAGGAGCAACCGTGCAAAAGCCTCTAAAACCACTTTTATTAAATCATGGCTAATCGTCAAAAACTTCTACCGCAAGATCCTTACCAGATTATAGAAATATTATTAAACTAAATTTTGAATGGGATTTAGCGGTATTTGTTTGATTTTGACTTAATCAATGAATATTTTAAACCACACTAACCATGTAACTTTTTTCCACATACGGAAATTAAGGTTTTTTTTCTCAATTTTGTTAAAATTTTATGCTATGAAATACAAATATATGTTAAATTGATAAAATTGCAGTTAATAATTATTAATTCTCTAATTTTTTCGAAATTTTAGCGTGTATTGAAATCCTAAACTTTTTTTCAATAACCCCAAAATCTCAAAAACGGGATCCCGATCCCGAAAACCCTACCTATAAGTTCAAAATACTGGTTGAGTCAATTTACTAAAAGAAGGTGTGGGAGAGGCGGAATTGTCTTAATCTGCTCTGCTGATTATAATCAACAAAATAATATACCTATATACCTTTAAACGATTATAAAATACGCCATTTGTATTTACTTTAACTCTCTTTTAATTCGTCTACTGACTTTGCTAAATTTTCGTTATGATCTTGTTGGAATAAGACAAGGTTTTCCCAAATTATTTTAAACTTTATTAAAAACAACATTTAATATCTTGTATTGGTTTGATGGATAACTCAAGTTTTAAGTTTTGGGTAATTACTTTTTTTAATATGCAGGAATTGGCTTTCCTGGTAGATTTGGTCTTCTTGTAACTTTGGAGATTGGATTTGGAACTCCTGGAAGAATGGGTCTTGCTTGTTCTTCAGTCTTGGGAAACGGGTTTGGCACACCTGGCAAGAATTTTCCATGTGTGAGTTCTTCAAAAAGTGATTTTCCTGGTAGATTTGGCCTTCTGGTTACTTTTTCGGAGATTGGATTTGGAACTCCTGGAAGAATGGGTCTTGCTTGTTCTTCATTCTTGGGAAACGGGTTTGGCACACCTGGCAAGAATTTTCCATTTGTGAGTTCTTCAGAAAGTGATTTTTCTGGTAGATTTGGCCTTCTGGTTACTTTTTCAGGGAATGGGTTTGGAACTCCTGGAAGAAAAGGTCTTGCTTGTTTTTCAGTCTCTGGGAATGGGTTAGGCACTCCAGGCAAGAAAGTAACACGGGTGAGTTTTTCAGAAAGTGATTTTCCTGGTAGATTTGGCCTTCTGGTTACTTTTTCGGAGATTGGATTTGAAACTCCTGGAAGAATGCGTCTTGCTTGTTCTTCAGTCTTGGGAAACGGGTTTGGCAAGAATTTTCCATGTGTGAGTTCTTCAAAAAGTGATTTTCCTGGTAGATTTGGCCTTCTGGTTACTTTTTCGGAGATTGGATTTGGAACTCCTGGAAGAATGGGTCTTGCTTGTTCTTCAGTCTTGGGAAACGGGTTTGGCACACCTGGCAAGAATTTTCCATTTGTGAGTTCTTCAGAAAGTGATTTTTCTGGTAGATTTGGCCTTCTGGTTACTTTTTCAGGGAATGGGTTTGGAACTCCTGGAAGAAAAGGTCTTGCTTGTTTTTCAGTCTCTGGGAATGGGTTAGGCACTCCTGGCAAGAAAGTAACACGGGTGAGTTTTTCAGAAAGTGATTTTCCTGGTAGATTTGGCCTTCTGGTTACTTTTTCGGAGATTGGATTTGAAACTCCTGGAAGAATGCGTCTTGCTTGTTCTTCAGTCTTGGGAAACGGGTTTGGCACACCTGGCAAGAATTTTCCATGTGTGAGTTCTTCAGAAAGTGATTTTCCTGGTAGATTTGGCCTTCTGGTTACTTTTTCAGGGAATGGGTTTGGAACTCCTGGAAGAAAAGGTCTTGCTTGTTTTTCAGTGTCTCGGAATGGGTTAGGCACTCCTGGCAAGAAAGTAACACCGGTGAGTTTTTTAGAAAGTGTTTTTCCTGGTAGATTTGGCCGTCTGGTTACTCTTTCGGAAATTGGGTTTGGAACTCCCGGAAGAATATGTCTTGTTTCTTGTTTAGCCTTGGGGAATGGGTTTGGCACTCCTGGTAAGAATGTTCCATGGGTGAGTTTTTCTGAAAGTGTTTTTCCCGGTAGGTTTGGCCTTCTGTATACTTTTTCGGAGAATGGGTTTGGAACTCCTGGAAGAAAAGGTCTTGCTTGTTCTTTAGTCTCAGATAATGGGTTAGGCACTCCTGGCAAAAAAGTAACAGGGGTGAGTTTTTCAGAAAGTGTTTTTCCTGGTAGATTTGGCCGTCTGGTTACTCTTTCGGAGATTGGATTTGGAACTCCCGGAAGAATATGTATTGCTTCTTGTTTAGCCTTGGGGAATGGGTTTGGCACTCCTGGTAAGAATTTTCCATGGATTAGTTCTTCAGAAAGTGTTTTTCCTGGTAGATTTGGCCTTCTCGTTACTTTTTCAGAGAATGGGTTTGGAACTCCTGGAAGAAAAGCTCTTGCTTGTTCTTTAGTCTCAGGGAATGGGTTAGGCACTCCTGGCAAAAAAGTAACAGGGGTGAGTTTTTCAGAAAGTGTTTTTCCTGGTAGATTTGGCCGTCTGGTTACTCTTTCGGAGATTGGATTTGGAACTCCCGGAAGAATATGTCTTGCTTCTTGTTTAGCCTTGGGGAATGGGTTTGGCACTCCTGGTAAAAATTTTCCATGGATTAGTTCTTCAGAACGTGTTTTTCCTGGTAGATTTGGCCTTCTCGTTACTTTTTCAGAGAATGGGTTTGGAACTCCTGGAAGAAAAGCTCTTGCTTGTTCTTCAGTCTCAGGGAATGGGTTAGGCACTCCTGGCAAAAAAGTAACACGGGTGAGTTTTTCTGAAAGTGTTTTTCCTGGTAGATTGGGCCGTCTGGTTACTCTTTCGGAAATTGGGTTTGAAACTCCTGGAAGAATGGGTCTTGTGTGTTCTTCAATGTTGGGAAACGGATTTGGCACTCCTGGCAGGAATTTTTCATGGGTGAGTTTTTCAGAAAATATTTTTACTGGCTCGACTTTGGGATTTGGTACTCCTGGGAAAATTTTCTTGGTAGCATCATTTAAAATGGATTTTCCTTGGTGTTCGTGTCCTTTATTATCTGGTTGTAAGGCCCTTGAGTTTAATCTTAGGATAGCTCCCTGACATCCTTAAATAAATATTTTGTTAATAAAAAATACCAAATAAGTTAATAAACGTGTTACCTAAAGCCAAAGCAATAATCACGATTAATGCTGTTGCGAGCTTCATGTTTGGTGGTTCTGAGGTGGTCTTAAAACTACAAAATTTTGTAAGGAAAGCTTACCTTTTATACTATTTTTAAACCTAATCTCATCTTTTTTAAGTATTTAACAAAACAATGATATCAAGTATTTTATTATTGTAAAATTATCTTAAATTATAATTATTGGCTTCTTAAGTGTTTTTTAAAACCAATAATAGTTTAAATTATATTATAAATTACAAAATAAGAATAAATTTAATTTTAAATTTGTGGAAATGTCTGGAACACATTCTAGTTTTTTAATAAGACCGCGCCGATTCTTACGCAAAAAAATAAACTTATTTTTAGTAAACTTTATTAAACCATTGTTCCAGTAGAACCATTAATCCGCGGCGTTGTCGCAGCCTACGACAAAGGAAAAAAATCAAAAGAAGGCCGTGATAGAATTTATTTGCCTGAATTATGAATAATCTAGAATTTTAACATAAAAAAGTACAACCACTTTTAGCCAGTTGATTTTTAACATTTGTAAGTGATACTTGTTAATAAACCGTTTTTATGACAACTGGATAAAAATATATACTTGATTTTTTTTATTACCGGTAAGTATTTAATACGATTATTATCAAATTGGAACCTAATTATAGGCGCCAATATTATTGGCCTAGGGCGAAAAATTGTCTTAATCCGGCCCTGCTTCCCCTGTATATATTTTCATTACCTGTTATCAGGTAAGAAATGCTTCATTCCCTCCCGCTACCATGACGACGCTACAGTGTGATTGTCTTTGAATGCACTGAAAAAAAATATTCTTGTATCAAATAAATTTATTTAATTCAAAACAATCTTTGTCTCATATTATATGAGTCATATATACCGAAGAGAATATATTCTTTAAAATAGTAAAGTATGTTCTTAATTCCCGTTGATTTATTTCAAGAATCTTTTCTTAATGTAAGAAAATTAAATTTCTTTAAATAAAACTTTTATTGTTTAAAAGCAAGAATATATAATTTTTGTAATAAAGTGTGTAAAAATAGTATATTAAAGTACAAGTTGCAGAAGGCCACATATTCTCGCACGAATTCGAAATTTGGCCTCGAGCGACGAAGGAGCGAGTGGACGAACGAATGAGTGCGAGAATAGCCTTCTGCAACGTGTGATTTATACTATTTTCTCGATTTTAACTTTTATTTAGGTTTTTTTAATTGTTTTGTGGTCGTTGTTAGTTAGGGGATTTTTCTCGCAAAATGTCAGTTGGCAACACAAAATGACAATATTTGTTATCCTGCACAAGTACAACCTGAACTGCAATTTTTACATTCAACTTAAAATTTTGCATTAAAATGCATTGTTGGAGCAAACTTAATATTACAAAAACAATAATAAAGGCTTCATTTTCAATAAAAGTAATGAATTTGAGGTTATTAATCAGTTTGACATTTTGGGGGTACCAATACTTAAAAACTAAATGTTACCAAAAATCGTTTAAGAATGAGCTTCATTCTTCAACGATTTTGCGTGCGAGAATATGACATTCTTACATAAAAATCGAGAAAGATACTTACTTAATTCAATTTCTTAAAACACAAACATGTGATATTGAAATAAGGCAATAATTTTCTATAGCCCAATATTTTTTTTTATTAATAGATTCAATATTTAAAATTTTATTTCATTGATTACGAAATAATATTTATTTTAAAACAATGCAAGAAGTATCGTTAAAAGTAAAATGTATCTATCTTAAGCTACTTTTAGCAATGTTTCAAAAAATCTATCATTTTGTATTTAAAATCAATAAAATTTTAAATAATGATACGTATATTAACTAAATATTATTTATTTTAATAATAAAAACATCTTTATATTTGAAGTGGACTAGTGTGTAATTTTAAATATCCTGTAATTTTTTAAGGATTGTTGTCTATTAAACAAAACTTTATATTTCAATACTTACGGATTATTCAAAATTGAGCCAAACTTACTGAAGGGCCAAAGTATACGTTGTATCGTTTTTAGGTGGTGCAGTAAGCAAATTAAATAATTTAGGTTAGAAAATATAAAACAAACGTTGAACAAACACATTAATTTGGTTTTTAATACAAGAAAAATCTAAAATGTATACATTATTATAAATTAACGTAGGGAACTTAATCATTATTATCGACAAATTTTTCATTTTAAATAATTTGTAATATTTTAGGCATAGGTAGTAGAAAAGCAATACCAATTTTATAAAATATATATGAATCAAAATTAATATTATACCCCAAAGTGTGTAACAAAATTACTTTTAAAACAAAATCTTTTTAAATGTCATAAAATAAATTAAGTTTATTAACTTAAAATTATAGAGCCATACAAATTAGAGTGTTAAACACATAAGAAATTTTGGTTATCACTGCAAAGCCTATTTATTTATGAATAAAATAATTTTAAGGCATCCTTAATGCATATTAGTAAATATTTAAACAATAACCTACCTACCTACTTACACGTAAATTCGACGTTAAATTTAAAAAAGGGTGGTATATCAATAACAACTTCATTTTTTTTATAATTTTCTTTGATGCTGACCACTCTTCTAATAATTTTTTAATGAAATACGCCCTCTCCCTCACAAAGAGAAAACACTGCATGATCGTTCAGAGGAACGTGTCGGCATCTCCACTCCTACACGATTTCAAAAATATGAATTCTTGGCAAAAGAAAATACTGTTTATTAAAACGAATAAAAAAATTTAAGAATATCTAATTCTTAATACTTATAAAAAAATTAAACAAATAAAAAAATAAGAATATCTTATTCTTGATATAAAAAAATATTAACAATTGTACCAAGAAACCAACTAAGATTTCCTTCAAGAATATTTAATATTTGCATTGACCCATGCAACTTTTTAAATATTTTTAATATTAGAATATTTCCAAAACTACAAAATTCTTTTTTAAAGGAGTTAAATATTTTTAGTTGAAATATATATTCTTATTTTAAACCAAGTTGACTTAAATTAAAAAAATATTTTCAAGATAATAGCGAGGGGTAAACCACTTTAAAATCTTAGAGACCAACGTTCAATGTTAGTGGAAGTTGTGTTTTTTTCCTTATCAGTCGTTATCAGTAAGGAAAACTTGCTTAATCAGTGCTTAATCAGTGCTTAGCGACGCGTTGCGTATGACTACCCTTGTTATTGTTATCCTCAGCCGTTAATTCGTAAGCAATTTTTAATTTTAAAAAATCAGTGGTTTACCCCTCGGATAATAGATATTCTAAATATAAGAAATCTTGTTTTTCAGTGTGTAAACGTTAGAATTAAATTAAACGTCAGATTTATATTGACACAAGTTTTTTTGCATTTTGTATATTTAAGCGATTCCACTAGACAAAAAGTGCTTACCTCGCGTGGAATCGCAATTACTCTCTTATTGAATTCCTTCACTCGCCTATCGGCTCGCTCGGAAACTTCCATATACCTACTAGTTTTGTGTTATTGAAAACCGTCCAAATTTTAACAAAATTGAATAATAAAAAACTGATATTATATTTAATTTAAATATATTTTTGTTAAACTCTTCAAGGAAACCTAAAATAACATATGTACTCAAAACAGATGTGTAGTGACGGATGAGATACAATTATTTTAACTTTAAGTTGAAACTTAACGGACCGATGAAATGTCATAATTTTCGAATTATAATTGGACCAATAAGAGGGCTCCCTGATGATCGGACTAACGGACAAACGGATACATGAAAATTAAGCTTTACGCCAGGGGCATAGCTACCACGGTATCAGCCGTATCAATGATACGGGGCCCCCGGCTAGGGGGAGGCCCCGATTGGCTTAAGCAAAAAACATATTACCCACATGTTAAAAAAATTAAGGCATGGAATTAAATAAATAATATATATTTTCCAGAATACCCTCCTGTTCCAACGAGGCCGTGAAATCATACGAATTGTTTCTGCCAGCACCTTTCCGCTTTGCGTTGTCTGCGCATATTGCTCTGTGCTCTGCGCCGCATACTCAGTCTGCTTTGCGTGTTATTATCATAGGTTATATTAATAGCAAATTAGAAATAATTATTAGCGTTACAATTATTTCAAATGACTTGCCTTTATTTTAAAATGGAAACCTTTTAAAAGATGTTGAAGAACGGTAAATGTCTAAAACCAGACCAAATTTTAAAATTTTCCTGGCCAGGCCAGTCATTTGAAATAATTGTAACGCTAATAATTATTTCTAATTTGCTATTAATTTAACCCATGATAATAACACGCAAAGCAGGCTCAGTATGCGGCGCAGAGCACAGAACAATATGCGCAGGCTGCGCCGCAGACAACTTATAGCGGAAAGGTGCGGGCAAAAACAATTCGTATGAGTTCACGGCATCGTTGGAACAGGAGGGTATAAACAATTTAATAATAATATTATTTATTAATTTAATTTTATGCCTCAATTTTTTGAACATGTGCTCTCTAAAAATGAATTAGTCAAAAATGAATCATTACTACAGTTATTAGTGAGTGCTTTTTCACTTATACCATGGTTAGCCATGAAATACCATGGTATCCCAACATTTAACAACCAATTCTTATGTAAAATGGTCCCCTGAATCCGAAAATACCGTCAAAAATTATAAAAGTAGAGCAGTTTTTGAGATATAGTCAATTCCATATTATATGGAAAATTGACTATATCTCAAAAACTGTTGTACTTTTTGGATTTAGGGGACAATTTTACATGGAGATTGACTGCAAAATGTTCGGGATATAAATTGCTTTTGACGATAATTATTAGTGGCTGCTTTTTCGCTATGACAATTAGTAATTTTTGACTAATTCATTTTTAGAGGGTGGATAATGTTTTCTGCTTACGCAAGTCGAAGCCAATCGGGGCCCCCCCTAGCCGGGGGCCCCGTATCATTGATACGGCTGATGCCGCGGTAGCTACGCCCCTGCTTGACACCCATACATTTTTTTGCCAGCGTATAAGCCTTATATACTATACTATATACTATACTATTTACTATAAGGGCCCCTACCAGATTTTTGATACGGGGCCCCCTCGAGGCTAGCTAGGCCACTGCTTTACGCCTTAAAATCTTCTTTAGGGCATACACTTCCTCCGAAGGACTAATACACAATACATATAAAAACATATAATCAACCATACCAATGTGAGATATATATTGTGTATTTTAAGAAAATCACCAAAAAAAACTAAAAAAAAATAAATGGAATTTACGTAACACAGATTTATAAAACTTAAATAACACTGAAAGAGATTTAAACAAAAAACGATTGAAAATGTTTTGATTTAATATATTTTCCAATATGTAGGTATTCTTAATTTAGAAATACGTAAAAAAATATATTTTTTCTACTACCTTAATGAAAAACTTAATTTTCCACCCCGAGCGAGGGAGGAAAATGCCTCTTTTCCTCCCAGGGAGGAAAAAAAAATTCCTCCCTCTATTTTTTTTAACAATTTTACATTTGCAAGAGTTTTTTACCTTGTCCAGCCCTATTTGATTTTGTAGGAAAAATATTTACTCCGCGCTTGTCCAACCATTCTTTGTTTAGTTTAGTTTAGTTTGTTGCTTATAACAAATGTTTTAGCAGTGTCAAAGTTACAAAAAAAATACATGACTATATTCCTTTTCATATCGCTTTTTCGATTTATGAGGAAGAAGATTAATTTCAACTACTCTTGCCTCTTCAGCAAGATCTTGCGGCAGGTCTTCTTCGCTAGAACTCATTTTTAAAACGTAGGAAGAATTTCAAATTTATGATAACCTGACAGCTTATAACAACTGTTATGTTTTACCAAAAAGACCATAGCAACAAAGCGTTGTCAACATAACGTCGGCGACGCAAAACCTACTTAATATTTTGTCATAATATTATAGCCCCATACCGGGTTAGTAAAAAGAACCGGAACGCTTAAAATGTCTTTAAAACCGTTAAAAGGTAATAGAAAAAACCATATACATCCCTCAGGAGGAAAATGCGTTTCCTCCCTTGAATATTTAATGCCCTTCGCTTCGCGTCGGGCATCAAACTATTCACGGGAGGAAAAGCATTATTTTCCTCCCATGGTATGTAAATAGCTATTATTTTGTACCTAGACAGGTCTATAAAAAGCACTTATTTTTACCCACTTTTGAATCAATATAATCTCAAAATCCGATCAGAACTTTTATCGTGACATTATTGATTAAACACACTTATAAGTAATTTAAATCCACTTGAAACCAAAATAAAAATCCAATGTTTCTCATTTGTAGTATCTGTAGGGGGCAATTATTTCTCAATTAAGTTTTAATCTTAAAGACGTTATGTGTACGATTTCAAAAGGTCAAAAATCTATATCCACACACCCCATTTGGCTTCAAACATTAAGCTTTTAAATCTTAATTTAACAATATGTTAATATTGGTATACTTAAGTAATTTCTTTAAAAATTGCTAATTTTATAGGATGGCAATTTTGGTATGCATTAAATATTTAACATTTTTATTGCGATTGAACCCAACATATCCTCAGTGTTGGATCTATGATTTAAAATTTTTTAATAATTCAAAAATATTGTATTTTTAAAATACCCATGACAACAGATTATAGTCACCCAGGTCTAGAGAATATGGTGGAAGAGGAAGCAATTCGCTCATTCATTTTATTTTCGAAATCTACCTAATAGAGGTGTGATGTTTCTATAAATAATGTTTTTTCTTTTTTGCCAAATCTTTTTCATCTTGATTTCATTGCCCATTTTAAAGATAGTCGGTTACAACACGTTTATCCCGTAAAATACTAACCAAAACCTTTTCCGTCGATTTTTGCATTTTTTGTCATAGTGTCCTTTTCCGGAAAAATGCAAATTGGATCCATAAAAAAATGCATTAGAATTATGCTCAAAGACGTCCAAACATTGCCCCAAAGCAATAATGTTGCCCCTTTTGTTTTCGTTTTAGCTATTTTATTCAATTTGTCATTATTCGATATCATGGGTGTGTTTGGATTTTTTGGGGTTTAGATGGTTACCCACTTTAGTACTGTTGTCTAAACTGTATTTTAACACATTTTGACGAAAATTAGTTTTTGATTTTTTACTTGTCCATGCCTGCGAGCCACAAAATTATTGAGAGATAAATGCAAAAATAAATGTTGCAAATCCTATTATTTAATGAGTAATCAATGGAAATAAATAGGTTAAGATTATAACTTTCATAGTAACAAACTACTTAAAATTAGAATTATTCTAGACGATATCGAGTGTTTGTAGATCGTTGATTTGTTGTTTTTTAATTCAATTATTTTTTTGTTTCTAAGCAAGTTATCATATAGCACAATACAATATTTTGTTGAAACCTACTTTAAATTTAAAGTATGCAAAAACCATAAAAAATAAAATAGAAAAAATTGTGTAGCTTTTAAAATGAATAAAATAATTTTATTTTTCTCATGATAAAAAATGTAAATCAGCATATTTTCTGCTATGTAAATCATTTAAAAATAAATTTAATTATCATGCTAATTAAATTATATACAATATACATATTATGTATATTAGGGTGTCCGTATATTTCTCAAGTTGTTTTTTTATTTGGGTATTATCTAAATTACCTGTATACTTATAGGTAAATTTTCACCCGTTGAAATATCACAGCTAAACGCTCGGACACAATTTAAGGTTTTATTTAAATCAATAGATTTGTTATTTTGTTATTGTTATTAGTTTTAATAAGTCCATACAATACATAAAGTAAAAATTAATTTTTTTTATTCCTATTACGGAATAAAACCGTTCTATATTATAATATCACTTTTTAATGTGGAATTACATTTATTTTATCACCGGATGACGGAAAAAACACTTGTGGCGACATGTCTGTGTTTATTATCTTACAACTTTTAGACCGATCCAACCTCACTTTTTCTCAATAAAATTATTTTTCTATGGTATTTTTTGGAAACGTAGAAATTATACCATTCTTTTTATTATAAGATTAAACTTTAAACCTTGTCTACTTGAAATTTTTCCAATGAGGCTTAGGTCCCATATTTTCCCGACCTTTTTATTTTTGGTCGAAGATTACAAATTCGTGCTTGGTTTACCTGTATCAGGTCAAAATGTAATACTATTCTCTTTTAATTCAGTAACCTACTACAACTCAATTGATAATATTATTATTTAATTATTATAATAATTATAATATAATAATTTATAATAATTATAATTATATTATATTATAATTATATTATTATATTTTATTATTATAATTATAATAATTATAATTATAAGTCTGTCTCTAAATAAATTTAAAAAATATATATATATATTATATCTTATAAGAGCTTCTTTTTCCCTTTAATTTATTTATATATTATAATATTATTTTAAAACAATTTTTGTTGTTTTAGAGAGTAATTAATAATTAATTAATAATAAATAGTAATTAATAATTACTATATATATATAATTGTTTTTATTATTTTATTTTATATGTATTTATGTTTATGTAAGTATATATATGTATGTATATATATATATATATATATATATATATATTTGTTGTTGTTATTTCTTATTTGTTTTATTAACTAGTCTTATAATATATTAAACACCCATTATAATATCACAAGTGTAAGAGTAGCCTTGGGCTAAACTTCGCCATTGTGTGTCACTTTTATGTGAAATATTTAATATCTATAATATTGTAATATTTTACTTAAATAAAGACGATTATTATTATTATTATTATTATTATTATTATTGCTAACCGAGCGTGGAATCTTAGCAAAATTTGCTATTTAATACTCCCGATGATGAAAGTTTTCGAAGGAGTCGATATGCAAGAGAAGGAATTAATTATGGGAATGTGATTTTTTAAACAAGCAGGTGTATCATAAAGAAATATTTTTTAGTAAAATGAATATTAAAAAAGTTTTTCCTATTGGCAATGCGCAAAATATAATATAATATAATATCCTCAATTATACCTACTCAATTACAAAAAAAATATGCAGAAAACTTTGAATTTCCTAAATTATCTCAGGGGCACGTGATGCTTTTGATCGAATAACCTCAAATTTTGCAATATTTTTTTTTAAATTTGCATGCGATGTAGGGGGAAGCCCATACAGGGTGTTTCTTAAGGGGATGTTCCAAAACCTAAAAATTAAATATATTTTAACCTGATACAGCTAAACCAAGCACGGATTTCAATCTACGACCAAAAATTGAGTTTACGTATCCGAGGGTTTAACTGTGATATTTTAACCTTCCTACAGTGTTATTTATTTACAATCTAAAAACAATAATTTTATTCCCAAGTTGTTTAATCCTGCCTACATGACATTTATATTACATATTATGTATAATAGGGTGTGCGAAAAAAAAAGTTATTTTTTTTCATGCTCTCACCCCAAAATCTCTCAAATAAAGCTTCTGTTAAAAGCAGAGATCCATATTCAAATTTTAAGAGGTTCTCCATCGAACTTTAAGTTTTTCCGTCTAAATAACATGGAAAACATGTTTTTTTGACACTTTTTTGTCCTGCAAGGTGTGGAAATTTTTTTTATGAAAATACATAAATAGACCTTTTTTATCATTGAATTTACTACAAAAAGTTCTATGAAGTCAAATTTTTATCTTCAATACTTGATTTTTGACAGAGCTTTAAACTTCAAATTATCGGTTTTCTGCATTTTTTAGCTATACCATAAGAGTTAGAGAAAAATGTTAAATAGCCGATTTCTAGAACGTTTAAAATCCTACAAAAAAGTCCTAATCAACTTTTTTGTATCACCAATAGCTACAAAGTTATAGCCCTACAAATATTCATTTTTTCAAATTTTTCCTTCCACGAACTAAAATATCGATAATTAAACTAAAACTTTTAATTTTTAAGACATAAGACGTCAATTACAGTAAATTTACGACTAAATTTAAAAATATTAATAAATAATTATCAGAACAATGCACTTTTCATATCTTAATAAACTTTCATATTTTTTATTGATATATTTTTTAATAGAGTTGGAAAATTATAAAAATACGACGAAAATAAGCTTTGAATATTTTATGCTATAAAACTTCTTATCTATTTAATTTTGTTGCAAATTTGATGTTATAGTGAATTTGTATCGAAGTTTTAGTTTAATTATCGATATTTTAGTTCGTAGAAGAAAAAATTAAAAAAAAATGAATATTTGTAGGGCTATAACTTTGTAGCTATTGGTGATACAAAAAAGTTGATTAGGAATTTTTTGTAGGATTTTAAACGTTCTAGAAATCGGATTTTTAACATTTTTCTCTAACTCTTATGGTATAGCTAAAAAATGCAGAAAACCGATAATTTGAAGTTTAAAGCTCTGTCAAAAATCAAGTATTGAAGATAAAAATTTGACTTCATATAACTTTTTGTAGTAAATTTAATGATAAAAAAGGTCCATTTATGTATTTTCAAAAAAGTGTCAAAAAACCATGTTTTCCATGTTATTTAGACGGAAAAACTTAAAGTTCGATGGAGAACCTCTTAAAATTTGAATATGGATCTCTGCTTTTAACAGAAGCTTTATTTGAGCATTCTCTGAGAGATTTTGGGGTGAGAGCATGAAACAAAAATAACTCTTTTTTTGGCACACCCTACAAATAATAATTATTATTATATAGACATATTTTTGTAGAAAATGCTTTAAGTTTTTATGGTTGTTTCTTAAAACTATCAATTTAAATAGTTTTGGAGTACAATGTTTGAAATAAAAAAATATATATGAATCTATTTTTTTCTAAATTTTAAGTTGTCTCTAATTTGTCTTTTTTTACTTGGGTATTAAGTATAAGTTATTTATTTACAGTTTAAAAATAATTTTGAAAAAAAATATTTTTTTTCGATGTCGTTTAAACCTGTCTAAATGATGATACTTTAAATTTTAATTTTTATTGTTTTTTACATAATAAAAATTTCATAATTCGGTTGTATATATATATATATATATATATATACAGGGTGTTTCACATTCGTGGTCCATTAGAAGTTTCTGGGGAACGAAAAAAGATAAAATTTTAAAAACGTTTGTAATCCATTTGAGTCCATTTTTCTAAAATACTAGTTAATTTTTCGCAATTGCATATTTAGGCAAAAGAAAAATGTTGATTTTAAATATTTAACAAACCGCGAATTGCCACCGTAAATAAATTTTAAAAACATATAGAAGTGCTCGTTTAAATTTTATTCATGAATAAAACACAGTATCGAAAAGTTTTTTGGTGTACGAAATGTTTTAAATGAAATATTAATAAAGTCTTCATATTTCATGACTCTGCTAAAAGAAAAGTTTTAAATGTAGTACAATGTTTAAGGAAGTTCCTTTTAGAATACCAACATATTTCAGCCCAAAATCCTTAACAATTTTGTTTGCCTTGTATTTTTCAAAACATATTTTGCACCAAGTATCCTTCTATGTATCTTTTTTATTTAAGAGCTACAAGGTCTGTTAGATTACAGAAAATTTGCGTAATTAAAAGTCTATTAAAAAGACATTTAAAAATTTAAAACAAATAATTAGCCAAAGAGTGACTTTTTGATTATTATAATAATCAACCAGAGTATACTCTGGTTGTTAACACTACACACTTTTACCCAATATTGTTTAAAAATATAAAAGTTTCATTCAACACCTACTTCATCTCTTACTACACCCATAGGCTGAAATTGGTTTTAAGTTAAAATTGGAAAAAACTGAAGTTAAGACTACTTGACAGTTAGATTCTTTGCGATAGTTGCATAAAATATTGTATGCTAATATTGGTAAAAAGAGGAGATTACACTCGCGTGTTACCTCACTTGCCATACTCGTGCAGAAAACTCCGCAGTCGAGAAATCTTCTCTTTTTCCCCACTACTTGTACGCTCTAGTGCGTAAAAGTGACACTAAAAAAATGCAAAAGTTGTATTTATTTATAGTAAATTGAAAATAAAATCTGTAAACGCTGTAACAAAAAAAATCGAATGCAATACGTTTCAAAACGTATTGGAGCACTTGTTACTCATGGACCAATTTTTACGTCGCAAGCTTAAAAAACTTTTTTTTGCAACTTATATCAATAAAGCCTTTATAAAATGTTATTAATTGAGTAGTTAATTTATTAATGTTTACTGTTTGCATTTATAATATGTTCGGCAAAAACTTATCTTAAAAATGTGTCAAGGAAATTTAAACACGATTATCAAAATGTTTAAATTAAGGAAACGTAAATAAGTTTTCAGCATTGGTTAATAATTAATAATATCGTATGGTACAAAGGGTAAGAGCCAGAATAATAATAATATTATATTTTTGAAAATTAATTGATTTATATCCAAAAACTTTTGAATTTTACCACTTTATTATTTTTTAATTAACAATAAATAGTATATTAATTAAAACAAATGTTATTTATAGCGAATAGGTTCAATAGTATATAATCGAGACACAATTGAAAGGCTCGGTGCAAAAAACGGTACTTTTTTATAAATTCATTTAATAAAGTTATATGGAAATCCGTAGATAATATGCACTTGGTCTGGAAACTGGCAAATTCTTAAGGCCGTATTCACGATACACTTAACTGACAGAAGAAGATAGGTCAGAGCAAACCAAAACTGATTTCAATCCTAAAGCTTTTAAGGGTTATTTCGCATACGAACTTATTAATGAATAGCGTTATAGCCATCGAAATTACCGATCTGTCAGATCATCTAAGAAAAAAGAAAAGAAAAATTTCTTCAAAACTAACAGAAACTGATATTTTTAAAGAGTGAATATAAAGGGTAATCAAACAGATAGCTCTTTCATTTATTAAATTTATTTTGGTGGAAAGATTTCACATATGTTAAGTACAATCTACAGCAATTTTAGTCATGGTGTCGTTGACCAAGCAACAACCATTTTATATTTGAATTTATTATGAAAATGAGCGTTCTGTGAAAAATTCAAAATTTTGTTGTTTGTTTGTGGTCAATATAATCGTCCTAGTGAATCCGGAACTTGTGCAATGGGTCCAAATCACAGTAAATATTGAAATCGGCCAATCAACGGAAATGCCGTTGGTAGACAGGGAATTTATAATATTTATCATTATTTACGAAAAAAAAACCATATTATACAATAGGAGTAGGTATTTTCTAACACGATATTTCATTTTACAAGTCACCTTGTATATGTAGAAGAAAAATCTAAATATTTTGATGTCACATAAAGAAAAAATTTAATACACAAAAATTAAATAAAAATTCGGAGAACTTAAATGAGAAAGTTTAACGCACCCATCGCGATGCATCATATGGCCAAAATCTGACGCCACCAGACTAATTTGATCCCTGCAAAACCTATTTAATGGCGTAAAGTTGGTGTAAAAAAGGCCTGTTAAGCAAGTTTTTTGCCCAGTAACCACAGAATTTCGGAACCAATGAATTAATTTGTTTACTGGAAAATGATTTAATAAAGTTTATTAAAAATAATGTTAATATTTGTTTAAATAAAGCTTAAAAATCGGCGAGAAGTTTTTGAAATACTTACCTATTTAGAATAATTTTCATAAATTCTCCATTAATTTCAAATTTAAATTATTATTTCATTTTTCTTTTTAATTAATATTTTAATTTAATCTATTATTTAGAAGAACACTTAAGAATTTTAAGATAATTTATACAATAATAAAATACTTGATATCGTTGTTCACTTAATACTTAAAACTAAGATGAGATTAGGTTTGAAAATAGTATAAAAGGTAAGCATGCCTTTCAAAAATTTGTAGTTTTCAGACCACCTCAAAACCACCAAACATGAAGCTCGCAACAGCATTAATCTTAATTATTGCTTTGGCTTTAGGTAACACATTTATGAACTTAATTATTTAGTATTTTTTATTAACATAATATTTATTTTAGGATGTCAGGGAGCTATCCTAAGACCAAACCCTAGATCCCCACAACCAGATAATGAAGAATCTGTGTTAAAAACTACTTACGAACACCAGGGAAAATCCCTTTTAAATAATGCTACCCCAGGAGTACAAAATTCCAAAGACGAGCCAGAAAAGAGGAAACCAATCTTGCCAGGAGTGCCAAACCCATTCCCAAAGACTGAGGAACAATCAAGACCCATTCTTCCAGGAGTTCCAAACCCAATATCTGAAAAAGTCACCAAAAGGCCCAATCTACCAGGAAAAACGCTTTCTGAAGAACTTATCCATGAAAAATTCTTGCCAGGAGTGCCAAATCCATTCCCCAAGACTGAAGAACAAGCAAGACCCATTCTTCCAGGAGTTCCAAACCCAATATCTGAAAGAGTGACCAGAAGGCCCAATCTACCAGGAGTGCCAAACCCGTTTCCCAAGACTAAAGAACAAGCAAGACCCATTCTTCCAGGAGTTCCAAACCCAATCTCTGAAAAAGTAACCAGAAGGCCCAATCTACCAGGAAAAACACTTTCTGAAAAACTTGCTCGTGTTAATTTCTTGCCAGGAGTGCCAAACCCATTCCCCAAGACTAAAGAACAAGCAAGACCAATTCTTCCAGGAGTTACAAACCCAATCCCCGAAAGAGTGACCAGAAGGCCCAATCTACCAGGAGTGCCAAACCCGTTTTCCAAGACTAAGGAACAAGCTAGACCCATTATTCCAGGAGTTCCAAACCCAATCTCTGAAAGAGTAACCAGAAGGCCCAATCTACCAGGGAAAACACTTTCTGAAAAACTTGCTCGTGTTAATTTCTTGCCAGGAGTGCCAAACCCATTCCCCAAGACTAAAGAACAAGCAAGACCAATTCTTCCAGGAGTTACAAACCCAATCTCCGAAAGAGTGACCAGAAGGCCCAATCTACCAGGAGTGCCAAACCCGTTTTCCAAGACTGAAGAACACACAAGACCCATTATTCCAGGAGTTCCAAACCCAATCTCTGAAAGAGTGACCAGAAGGCCTAATCTACCAGGGGTGCCAAACCCGTTTTCAAAGACTGAAGAACGAGCAAGACCCATTCTTCCAGGAGTTTCAAACCCAATCTCCGAAAAAGTAACCAGACGGTCCAATCTACCAGGGAAAACACTTTCTGAAAAACTTGCTCGTGTTAATTTCTTGCCTGGAGTGCCAAACCCATTCCCCAATACTAAAGAACAAGCAAGACCCATTCTTCCAGGAGTTCCAAACCCAATCTCCGAAAGAGTGACCAGAAGGCCCAATCTACCAGGAGTGCCAAACCCGTTTTCCAAGACTAAGGAACAAGCTAGACCCATTATTCCAGGAGTTCCAAACCCAATCTCTGAAAGAGTAACTAGAAGGCCCAATCTACCAGGGAAAACACTTTCTGAAAAACTTGCTCGTGTTAATTTCTTGCCAGGAGTGCCAAACCCATTCCCCAAGACTAAAGAACAAGCAAGACCAATTCTTCCAGGAGTTACAAACCCAATCTCCGAAAGAGTGACCAGAAGGCCCAATCTACCAGGAGTGCCAAACCCGTTTTCCAAGACTGAAGAACACACAAGACCCATTATTCCAGGAGTTCCAAACCCAATCTCCGAAAGAGTGACCAGAAGGCCTAATCTACCAGGGGTGCCAAACCCGTTTCCTAAAACTGAAGAACGAGCAAGACCCATTCTTCCAGGAGTTTCAAACCCAATTTCCGAAAAAGTAACCAGACGGCCCAATCTACCAGGAAAAACACTTTCTGAAAAACTTACCCGTGTTAATTTCTTGCCAGGAGTGCCAAACCCATTCTCCAATATTAAAGAACAAGCAAGACCAATTCTTCCAGGAGTGCCAAATCCATTCCCCAAGACTATAGAACAAGCAAGGCCCATTCTTCCAGGAGTTCCAAACCCGTTTTCCAAGACTAAGAAACAAGCTAGACCCATTATTCCAGGAGTTCCAAACCCCATCTCTGAAAGAGTAACAAGAAGGCCCAATCTACCAGGAAAAACACTTTCTGAAAAACTTGCTCATGTTAATTTCTTGCCAGGAGTGCCAAACCCATTCCCCAAGACTGAAAAACAAGCAAAACCCATTCTTCCAGGAGTTCCAAATCCAATCTCCGAAAGAATTACAAGAAGACCAAATCTACCAGGAAAGCCAAATCCTGGATATTAAAAAGGAAATACCCAAAACTAAAAAACTTAAACTTACTCCCTTTTTTCCTTGAGTTATCCATCAAACTCAAGACAATAAATTAAAATGTTGTTTTTAATAAAGTTTAAAATACTTTGGGAAAACCTTTATATATTTGTTTTATTCCAACAGTTCATACCGAAAATTTAGGGAAGTCAGTAGACATATTATAAGAGAGTAAAAGTGAATTAAATTGGCGTATTTTATAATCCTTTTATAAAAAAATATAAATAAAATAATGGTAACATCTGGGTTAACAAGTTTTAACGTTATTTCGGGATTTTATAACGTTATTCGTTGTGGCGCGCCATGGCGTGAGCTTACCTTACGGATTTTTTTATAAAATCTCGAGCGCCAGCTTCGTTATTCAAAGTGAAGAAGCACCACGTACCTGGGTTTGCTTTTATACAGAGAAAGGATATTCCAGGCAATGGTTTAATTTAATACATATATGTATATATATTGAAATAAAAATAAAACTATATATACAGAACGAATAATAATTTAAACAATAAGGAAAGGTGGAACACTCAGTATATGAAATAGAATCTAAATTAACATAATAAAGTAATATGAAAATAATATAATATTAAAATTAAATTAAATAAATAAAATAATATTGACACCAAAAGTAAATTATTAAAAAACGCTAACAATGAGTCTAAAAACTGAAGGTCACACTTCTAGCAAATATTAATAAGAAAATACAATTAAATAAACCAATGCTGTAAATGAAATGAAAAATTACGGGAAGCAAATACTATGGCCTTTAGCAGATGTTTTAGCAAGTCAAACACGGGACGGGCTAGCGGTGCACATAGGAGTATTTGTTAAAAATACGGTCAAAATTATTTCTTGCATTTTTTTGAAATGTAATCATTTGAAATACAATATTTGATCGTAATTTTTATAATAAGGCTTAAAAAAATATTAATTGCGTTTTTTTGTAATCTAGTAAAATATAATTTGGTCGTAATTGGGAGTTTAAAAAAAAATATATATAAACATGTCAAGATAACTTAAATTATCCTTAATCAGACAAACTGTTCATTTTCCTCTTCGTCAGCTTCATCTTCGTCAGCTTTATCTTCTTCTTCGTCAGCTTCATCTTCCTCTTCGCCAGCTTTTTTCTTCCTCTGTATCTTCGTAGATTTCGTTTTCAGTTTGAGGTAAAGGCGGTTTGCCTGCGATCATCAGATTGACTGCCTCTTGCGAAAATGGCTTGGTCTTCTTATTCTGCCTTGGTCTGCAACTGCTTAAATACGGGTCTGAACTTAGTAACAGTCTATTTAATATATCTCTGTTACATTTGACCCGTGAAAATTTTTGAGCAAAATTTAACCTGTATTGTCGGAAGTGTTTATTGCGACCAGTAAGGCAGTTCAATTGATGCTCCATTGTTCATTGTTTTTAAGAAACGTTCTTCTTTGTAACTAGCAGCTGTCTATTTCTTTTAAATTCGCTCTTGAAAAGCCTTAAAGCGCGGCTTATAACACTTTTCTCATTATCTGGGCATTTAGTTATTTTCACAAGCTTTTCTTCCATTAATGAAAACTCCAGTTTCTTCAAATTCCTTTAGGCTATTATACAATGCTTTTTTATTAAATATCTTGATAGTTTCTAAAGAACATAACGACAAATAAGAAAAAAATACTAAGTTGAAATATTTAATATTTTTTGATCAATAACTTTGAAGTAAAATTTAAAAAAATGGCGAAAGTAGGCAGACAGTTTTACATCAGCATATAATTGTCAATAGCCTAAACTTCACATTTATAAAAAAAATAACCCGACAAGGCCCGACAAGTAAACAAAAACGTCATTATGTTATATTTTTTAGTTAACATGAATACCCAAAAACGACTTAATAAACATCCTTCGTAAACATATAATGTAAGCAGCAAATTAATAAAATTATGTTTTAAATTAAAGTACATACATATCTTCCTCTTCCATGGTCAAAAGATTTTTTTCCTAAACTTAATCACAGAAACACACACAAAGATATGCGATTCAAATATTAGCTGGGTTCCGACTAAGAGTATGACAAGAAGAAAAGAAGGGGGGAATTTTTATGGCTGTCATTTGATGGAGCGGTTATCTAGCTTGAAGAATAATGGGTTTGACGGTTGAAATCCCTAACTTTTTAAATACTTCTATGTGCGGTGGTCAGCCGATTCGCCTCCTTGGTACTGTCTACGGCAGAGCAGATACAGAGCGTTACGGGGCGCGGGTGGCTTACACACACTGAAAATATTTGTAAAAATAATGATCCATTAGCATTATCATTACCTATGATAGTTCGGGTTTACAGGGTCGGGCTGACGGGATCAAAAGAGCGGTCTGAACCCCGAAGGGAAGACCAGAGAGCGTTTGAGCAACTGAAAACCGCAGCTCCCCACTTGTGTGAGTAGGGTGAACGTGGAATCACGACAGCGCATCTCCACTAGTTCGAATAATAATATTAAAACCTATGTACAGGGTGTACAAACGGTGGTATTTAAGAAAAATTTAAGTAACTTTAACAAAGTCTTTCATTAACTTTTTCGAAGTGTATGCCTTAAATGTTTGGTATGGTATTTTATTTGAAACAAATTTGTGAACAGAATATTAATTTTACGCAATACAAGTTTATACAAAAAACACCAACATATACAAACTTTAGATTTAGTAATTAGGGCTTGTACTTACCAGTATTTTTTAAATTAACTTGTTATGAAAACAATATAAAAAATGAATAAATGGCCATAATACAGGTAATATTGGACAAAAGGACCTTTACTACCTTTACTATGTAAACAATTGAATAAACTATGCAGAGATAATACCATAATAGCTGTTAAACTTAGGAGACTATTCAGTATATTCAATCCATTCAACTCCATATAATGGCCAAAAATTTCTGAGTATTCAATGCTAATAATCAGGGGGGATTAAGACAATTTGCTAGGTAGCTGCAGCATTGTTGCCTTGCCTTTACCTCCTAGATTTTTGGGATCGGGTTAGCGATTGCGAGATTTCTGGATTATTGGAAAAAAGTTCAGGGTTTAAGAATGTATCCTAAAATCCCTAGAAACTTAAATAAATAATTATTAATTTTAATTTTACTTAATTCAACATGTTTTCATTATTTATTATTATATATTATTATTGTTTTTAAATTGACAAAAGAAACAAATAAAAACATTAAAATTACTGGCATTGTTGATACGTGGATTTTTTCTTATTTTTAGCATCTTTTCCACAAATAAGACATTAATTTGTCAAACATGTTGAATCTCAAGTTATCTTTTTTAAGCAATATCTCCTTTTTTGTGGTTGTTTTTTTCATAGATTTTGATATATTTCACTCTAAACACAAGTTTTTTGTAAAAAAAAATAAAGTTAATTTTTACTGATTTAAAAATAAATCAGGCTTGTATGCTTTCACTAAAAAGTTATATTTTTAATTACTTATTTATTAGAAGCCTTACCTATATCTAGTGTAAAGAAGTTATAATTTTATAACATTTTAATGGATTCAGAAAGAAGGACGAGCAAAGTAATTTGAAGCTATTAAATAATATTTTGTAGATAACTCAAATATCAAGGGTTTTTGTAAATGTTGAACTACCATTAAAGTTTTAGTTATTTAAAATATAAGAAAGTACGTATAATATAGTATATAATAGAATATAAATTGCATATTCTGCTTTTCTAAAACCGTAAAACTCGCCTTCGGCTCGTGTGGCAAACTTCTCACTCGATCGGAAGATGTCGTATTCCAAACTTATTACAGAATATTACTATTACTATATTACTATTACGTTCGATAGACAAAAAAGTCAAATTTTTAATACCTGGGCGGTAAAGTGACTTATTTTTAGGCTGAAAAAAGATACTTCTTAAAGCCTGTGAAAAACACTATACCGCCGTGGTTTACACCTTATTATTTCTCATATACGTTGTGTAGGAGGAAAAATAACGTGACGTTACTGCAATAATTTTTACAATTGCTTCTGAGTATTTCCGCGAAACCTTACCACACCTTGACAAAAAATAAGATGTGTTATTTAACAAAATAAATACTATATCCTCTCTAAAAATGAATTAGTTAAAAATAACTAATTTAATAGTTAATAGTGGCTGCTTTTTCACTTGTGCCATGGTTAACCATCGAATACCATGGTATCCCAAAATTTAATAGCCAATTCTTATGTAAAATTTTACCCTGAATCCGAAAATGTCTTCAAAAGTTAAAAAAGTAGAACAGATTTTGAGATATAGTAAATTTTCCATTTAATATGGAGTTGACTATATCTCAAAAACTGCTCCACTTTCATAACTTTTGACGGTATTTTCGGATTCGGAGTATAATTTTACATAAGAATTGGCTATTAAATTTTGGGATACCATGGTATTCGATGGTTAAACATGGCACAAGTGAAAAAGCAGCCACTAGTAACTATTAAATTAGTTATTTTTGACTAATTCATTTTTAGAGAGTCTGAAGTCAAATAGTTTAATTGCGACGTAATTTATAACCTTAAAATATTCGTACATTGTGATGCCAAGAAGCTAACATTAAGAATAAACACGGAAGAGTTTCAATAATCGATAAAATGTTCAAATGTAGCACCCGTTACATTTTGAGAAGATTTTAGAAATTAAAGTATACAATATTTGTGCATTCAAAATACGTGCTTGTTTAAGGTTACTATTCAAGTTTTACACACAAAAAATTACTATATACTTTCATCCAAAATTATACAGTATCAACTTTAGAAACCATTTGCCTATTTTCTAAGGTCGCGCCCGTTACGCGATTCATGACGTTATAAAAGATTTTCAAAGCTGCAAAGTGATACATTGCAGCTTTGAGCGAGAAGTTTGACGCGCGACACGTAGCGGAGCCTAATTAATGGCGTTTATCAAACTTGATACATCAACTGTTATCTCCATTAAGGCCGTATTACAGCCGGCAATTCTTCTTGCAGCAATTTTTCTTGCAGCAATTATTCTTGCCATCAAGTTTTCAAGGCCATATTGCATATTGTTTTACAGTCAGCAATGGCAAGACAACTTGCTGTTTATTACCGTGCTACCAACCGAAGAAAAATATACGATTTTGTAAACACTAAGTTTATTTGTTATTTAGTAGAGATATTTAAAAATTACTGAGTGAAATGGATACTAGAACTTTGAACACAATGCCAATCATAAAACAAATAACCCTAAACTGTTTAAGTCAAACAGCGTCTCTCTAGGGAATTTGTAGTAGGGATGGTAACATAAAAGTTACCAGATTTTACCCTAGAATTGCCGTAAAACGGCAATAAAAATCCATCTGGACTGATTTTCGGCAATTTTCATTGCCTACGGCAATTTTTATTGCCATTGCCGAAAGAATTGCCGGCTGTAATACGGCCTTAAAAAATATACTTAAAGTTTTTTTTTTGTACCATATTATCCCTATATTCCTAATTTATAGGTTCACACATAACATACATAAAATTAACAATTGGTTTATTCACAGCTGAAAAAATAAATATTATTTTATATTTTTTTAACAGTTATTTTATATTTCTTTAACAGTTATAAGCTATAATTACTAGCTATAATTAGTTAGCAGCTATAATTACTGTTACTGTTCGCTACCGAAAATAATTGTATACGTAACTGCTACCGACGCACCTTTGAGCTTTATGTGATCTCTTACACGTACACAGGTTCTTGGGTCAGTCTGACCTTGTCGACGCGATAATATTTCTCCGATCATCTACACTGTTTAAAATATCTCTGGTGTAAAGAGTACCTAATCTTAAAATGGTGTCAAAATCCAACACCAAGTAGTGTTAATATAAACACCATGAAATATGGTTGAAAATGTTATATGTAGCAACCATCAAAACGGTGTTTATCTAAAAATATTTGAGAAGTGCACCTACACCAAAAAATGAATAGTTCATTTAAGAAATAAAGTCTTTTTGGTTTAAAACAATTATATTAAAATCAAATAGTTCAACAATAACAACTTATGTCTTAATTTATCGAGTGCTTCTTAAAGAGTGCCGCTTATATTTTTAAGCAACTGTGTGCTCCTCTAAAACGCTGACGAAGACCATCCAGCTTCCACGTGCCAACCTTGTGATCCTGGGTCGCACACAAAGACCGTACAGTCGGCGTAGGCTGGGATGTTTATGCT